ATTGATATAAATACCTCTTTTACGCTATTGAGTTGAGCTGAGTTAAGTTTTTCGCTTATAGAATCTAGATCTAATATGAAAAATATGGCTAGTTCATCTCTGTTAAATATGTAAGCTGATATACTAAGTTAAGAGGAAGGGGATAATTAAATTATATTAGTTCGTGTAATCTGTCTTTCCATAGTTCAAGCTAATGAATATATTACTCCTCAGAATTTTCCATACATTCTTATTCACCGCTAATATGATGAAATTTCTTCAATGATCAATATCTTGCTAAGTTTTACTCGTCTGAGGAGAAAAATTCAGCTAATCAATTCAATATTAGATGTACTTTCTAATAACATGCTTAAGATAACATTATTATCACTAAAAATATTTTATAATTAATAGCGAAACAAATCAAACAGTACAATATTTTTTTTACTTTGTCGATATCCCAGATTTTAAACAAGTAGTAGTCTCATCATTCCTGACGATTATGAAATACATTTCTGGTAAATACAAGAATGCAAAATTGTAGCAAGTAAAGCCATAAATAGTTTAAGTTTCGAGATATCGACAAAATAAAATAATATATTGTACTTCCTCGGTGGTTTTGCTACCTATTACGAAATATATATACTGATAACAATACTTTCTGAAGCATTTTATCAGAAAGTATATCCAATATTGAATTGATTAGCTAGACATTTCTCTTCAGATGAGTGAAACTAAGCAAGATATTGATTATTGAAGGAAGTTCATCATACTTGCAGTAAATAAGAATGTATGAAAAATTCTGAGGGATAACATATTAATCAGCTTTCGTATTTAACGCATTTTCACGCGTTTCTCAATAAATTCACGTGTGAAGAATCATTAAAAATTTACTGATCTAACGAAAAAAAGATCGTTAGAATTTGAAAACGCGTTAATTTTGCGCACTTTTAACGCGTTTTCATAATCAAAATTGTAACATTTTTAATCTTTAAATCGTTAAATTTTCAACGAATTTTCAAGTCACAAAGTTTCGTTAAATTAGCAAAAATTTTTACATGGGCCGTCTCTCTCGTGCAGTGACTCATAAATGTCTGTATATATAATAAAAATAAAGCTTAAATTAAAAAAAAGAACTCTGTGGTGCCCTGCATCTTGACATGCTCTTTCAAACAAAAAACAAAACTTTTTAAGTGTTGAAAGATTCTGGACCGAGAAATTTTGGACGGAAGATCAAAAAATCATAAATCGAGAAAAAAAGAAATAAATTTTTTAGTTTTTCAAAAAAGTGCTGGTTTTTCGAAAAGAGGTTCTCAGGAATCGTGAAAACTTTGGGGAAAAAGTGAGGTATCGAAGAAAAACTTTTATCGTTTATGAAAAAGCAAATGATGGGCTATCTCCTCATGCATTCATCTCAATTTCGAAAATTCTGACGAAAATTGACATTTTTTGAGGGGGGGGGGGAGGCCTTAATCGGAGTATACGTACGATATAAGATAGTCGATTACATGTATTTTTTCATTCTTTTTTATTATTTCTGCTGGATATATCCATTGCTGCAAAAAATATCCCTGATAACGTTTATGTGCATCTCAAACGAAAGAAAACACATGATTTGTTTTGATTTTTTCTTATAGAAATATTATACGTTTCAGATTAATAATATGATAGAATCGCTTTGTTCTTGTTGCCAGTTGCTTGGAAAACCGCCAGCTCGAATAAATTTTATCGTAGCTACAGGTCTGCCATACAGCCTAATGTATCGACGGATTAAATATATACTGGGAAATTATTCTGAAAATTCTGTATTTGAACATGATGCTCGTTTGACAGATTATGAAGCACATATGGATATCGGTAATCAAATTTTTAATCGCCCAAATAGCTCATTATCAGTCGAGCAGTCAACATCGACTGCGATAGAAACTTGCTGTCATGGCTTCACTGTTGTCCAAATTGCGTGTGATAACATATCGGATTCTACTCAACTGGACATTTTCCGAAAAAGAATTCTTGATATCCTAGATCCAGAAGCTGACACAGTAACTGAAGAACAAAATCCAAAACCCAAAGCACCAAGTTGGATTATGTTCGGTGATTCCCGATTTTTAGAGCCAGCAGTACTCAACATATTTCTTCAATTCCATAATCAAAAAAATTTATCCTTGTTAAGCTTTACATTGACTGTACTTTGTTTTCTTGTGGATGAAGAACAATTCTTCAAGAACTTTGTTTGTCGCGACCAACCTATTGAAAATTATCAATCAAAATTTTATGTTGATCATGAACGTCGGATTAACAGCTTTTTCTCATTCCTAAACAATTCACCATATCTTCAAGAGAGAGTTTTTCTTTTAAATGAAAAAGATCTGTCAACTGATGATGAGTTACAGATATTATTACAAGATACTTTTCGTAGTGGATCATCAAGGTTTAGAGCAGACAACGATAGCCATAGCTCTGCCATGGCAAAACTACTTGTATATCGTCCACGAACAATACATGCCGTTAAGAGTTTTCGCAAAGATCTACAAAAATCCTATAATCCAACTGTTAAGAATCGATTACGACCACTACTCAACAATCTTAAACAAAAAACTACAGTTGCTGCTGCTGCTGCTGCTCGCCAAATTATTCATCTTGTTCTCGATGAATTTAAACGCATGAATAAGGAAGAAAAACGGATCTATGAAAGACAACTAACACTTGGTTTGGAAGATAATGACGTAAAATCTTCAAACACAATTACAGCTCAATTAGTTCATTATGCTCTCTATCTATTAAAAAGTGACAATGACAAATTAATGTCACTTATCTATTCGATCATTTTAGTCATCTGTAAATTAGGTGTTCATTTTATCTTTCGTCATGAATTATTCAAAAGCACCCCTGAAATATATACATTAAGTTTATTGTTGATTAGTACACAACAGTATGCTCTGACACTTTCTGGACTTCGACTTTGTGTCACTATTCTCAACGGTGATGAAATTGAACATAAATATGCATTGGCATATTCACAACATGATACCTCTAGTGTTCGAAAAATTTTAGATGCAATCAAATGGTTATTGTCTCCCTATATAACACTCAAAAACTTATGGAAAAAAGAGAATGATGGTTCTGCGTGAGTAAAATTATTTTTTTATGATTTGTCGGTATCTAATTTATTTTTTGCCTTATCGTCAGGAAAGAGAAAAACGAATTAGTCTTAAATAGTGCAGAAAGTCTTTGTTTTCGTCATGCAGGCATTTTACTTGAACAACGTTGCCTACGCAATCTCGCGCCATTATTTTACGGCTCAAAAGAGAATTGTGAACAAGTGACAAAAGATGACATTCACAACTTCGTCGAAATCATTGGTATTTTAACTAATAGTCGTATGACTCATTGGAATCGAGATGAAGACAAATCTTATTTCTGTCCAATGCTTGTTAGTCATCTATGTGCACTTCTAACACCCATTCTTTTTTATGCCCCACCTTCCGTTAATCGAGCATTGCGAAATGAAGATCATCGTTTGCTGACCATTCCTAAAGTTATTCCTTTCTTGCTCGAAGCGAAGAAAGCTGACGAAGCTATGATAAATACATGTATTCGATTTTACACACATTTTGTTCAGTTGAAATGTAAAGAAGTCAAAGTCGACAATGACACTGATGATAATCAAGAAAATGTACAATTGTCTGATGTAAAAACAACTGGAAAGCTTAACGAGCCACCGATCTTCTTAAATCTTTCTGAAGATCTGATTTCGTCATACTTCGATTTATATCGTCAAATTCGAGAACAATGCTTAGCTGACGACAAATGTGCACAACAAGAACAAATCCAAAGATTACTAGGAGAAGAATGGAAAAAATTGAACACTGTTCAACTGCAACATGAGAACGAACAACTTAAACGTGAAAATATGTCACTCAAAGAAGAACAGTCACGATTGAGAAATGAATTACAGCGCACTCACGAGGAGAAAGATCGGGTTAATAAAGAGTACATACAAAAGGCTCAAGAAGTAGATCGTCTCAAACTAATGCTTACCACTGCTATACATACAGAGCCTCAACAACCATCAATTTCTCTTCCTGTTGACAACAATAATGAAGAAAATTCATTCGATGATTTAGAAAACCTTGCGCCACATGAAATTACTCCGGCACAAGCAGAACGATGTATCCGAGCAATCTATCTTCGACGAACAAGATTCAATGATCCAGACATGCGACAGTCTATCTGTGGATCACTCAAACATCTTGGTTCTGATCTGTACAGTTCACCGGTGCACTTTCTACATGAACTCATTCAGGTTGTATCTTTTCCTTTTCATTTTGACTACTATAACTCTATTTCTTCTATTGTAGAATGCTGAAGACAACTTTTATGATGACAATGTTGTACCATGTCTACACATTGAACTTAATCACAATTATATTCTCTTGTCGAATAATGAGCGAGGTCTTCGAAAAAAAGACGTATTAGCTATTTGTAGTGTAGCCGTTAGCACAAAAACAACTCAACAAGAACAGATTGGTGAAAAAGGTGTTGGTTTTAAATCAGTTTTTGCTGCATCAAATGAGCCATTGCTTATTTCACACGCTTGGCAATTTCAATTTCGTGTACCAGGTCATGATGCTATGTCATACATAAGTCCATTATGGATAACAAATCAAGATATCCCTGATTGCATTTCTAGCCAAATTTCAACATCCCGTCAAGAGACTTATCTTTATCTACCGCTGAAATTCCAGGCGCATCCATCGGAAACCGAATCATTCCTTAATCAAGTTATTAAGGCTGTAGATCCCTGTATTTTACTCAATATGCGTCGCTTGAAAAACCTTGAAATCATTGATAAAAGAAACGATACACCAATATTCATTAAAAAAGAATTGAGACATTCAATAAAACTAGTAGGACAATCAAATGTGACATTTGAAGATTTCTTATTTAATGATCTCACTGGATCTGTCGTCGAACTGTCCATTTCATCAGAACGACGTACTTTTCGAGTGTATAATTGTTATATTGATATACCAAATTCGATTGAACAACGAAAATCTTCAAGAACACGACTTATTATAGCATTTCCTTGTGAAAATGATTATTATTTAACTAGCACAGTTTATACAGGTTTACCAGTTTGTGATCTTGGTTTTAATTTTTTATTCAATGCTGATTTTCAGCTAGTCACAAATAGAGAAAATGTCCGAGAAAATGTTCCGGTTAATGAATTTATTCGTAATCATTTAGCAGCCCTATTTGTCTACCTTTTACTGAATGATATGGAATTAAGAAAAGATATTAGTCGATATTGTCCATCAACCAATACACGTCAACTAAAACATTCGACATGGTGGCAAGTGATGGTAGACGATATTAACAAGTTAATAACTAAATATTTTTCGGTTTTATTGGGTACTGAGAAGGGTAAATAAATAATATTTAGAATAATTTCAGCAAGAAATAATTGATAACTATATTTAGGTAAAGAAATTCGTTATTTCAATACAGATATGGCAGCATTAGTATCAAAAGAACAATTGCAGAATTGTGCTGATATTCAAGTAATTGACTTAGATACTGATTTTTTTACAGCTGAACGTTTAAAATCTCTACATATTCAATCAGTTTCAATAATAGATATACTTAATTGCTTTCCAGATCGAGAAGAAAGAGCATCAATCAATGAATTCCGTCAAAATTTTCAACTAGAGAGTCAAAAAAAAGGTGAACAATGGTGGTCTCAACTTTTTCACTATATTAGTCAAGTGATGCCATCAGATGTGTTTAAAATAATGCTGCAAAAACCAATTTTTCTTCTCAATAATAAGCATCAAAGGCAACATCTCCCAAAATCTGCTTGTGAGAAATTATGTCTCTATATTAGTGATAATCCATCATTCCGAATGTGGAAAAGACAACTTATACTCTTGCAATACTCTTCAGAATTTGAAAAAACTGCTCTTCTCAAATCAGAGCAAGTTCAACCTCTTGCAGAAGAAGACCTGATTAAAATCATTCATCGTCATCATTTACAATTAGCTGCTTCATATTTTGACACTGATGCTGGTCTTCAAGTTATTGAAGAAGTATGGAAAGACTTGTTTTATCTGAAATCTCGTGTACATAAACTCGAAAAATCTACCCCATTTGTCGTACCAGTTAATGGAACATCGAATTTGACAATCATTCAAAATGCAATCTTACCAACAGTATTGGGAGTCGATATTCGCTCATTTATGTATTCAACAACTACGCCTATTATTTGTCTCCCTTACTATAACACTGATCGCGATCAATTGATGGATATACTTCAATGGGAATATTTTTTACTAGAAATGGATTGTCAACGACCTTCGCTACATTTGTCTTCAGACGATAGTATCACTAAATTAATACCATTACCATCATTTGCGATGTTTACAGATGAAAAATGTGCTCTATTGGCTGTAAGGATTATGGCTGCTCACACAGATCACACAAAAGATTGTCTTCGTCAATTTCCTATTATGGATGATTCGAAGATTGTACAACAAATTAGTCGAGTTTCAGATACATTCGATGAAAATATCGTTCGCAATTTGCCATCATTACCACGTATTGCTGTTCCACCACATTGTCGTGCATTAGCAATTGTTCTTGGTGTTCGTGTCGAATACGATCTTCACACATGTGTCTCTGTTTTAAAATTGTTAAGTGATGAAAAGAATACCAATGTCGATCTATATACTCAATGGTTAGGTCATTTGCAATTGTATGTCCTTCAACAACATGATGATTTTGATCGAGAAAGCTTGCTTTCATCATGTCAAATATATCTTCCTGATCAACAAAACTTCTTTCCATTAAACGATCTTCTGATTGTACCAGACAATAAAGATCATCCAAATGGCAACTTATTTATTTCAAAATACCTCAATTTACAATGGATTTCGCCATCAGTCAATCAAATTTATTGGCATCTAAGAGAGCTCTTTCATATTTTAGGTTGCACATGTGCAGTTACTATTGATCACATTTATGAGACAATTTATCGAGCAAATCATGATAAAACTAACTTTTTTGCTTTGGGTGATTGTACAACAACTCTGACAGAGAATGGCATGGAAGTCATGATTATCCTTTTTCAATATCTAGATGATTTAATAATGCAATGTGTTAAACAGAATATTAAAGATCATGATTTATATCGTACAATTGTGGAGAATAAACATCAGACAGCACCATGTGGTAGTCGAGAGGATTTACAATGGCGTTTTAGTTTGAGCGGTGAATCCATCTCAACAGAACTCAAAAAACTGACTGGAATAATATTGCAACAAAAGAAAATTAGTCTTCCAACTATTGATCGACGACTTGTTACAAAAACAACGGAAAATATTGTTTATACAGGTTTAGAAGTAACAATCGTTCAAAATCTAGCAAAAGATATTGATAAACGTTATTTTATTTCGCCATCGATTACTCGAACATGTCCATTAGTCATAGCGACATTTGACATTGATTACGTTGAACGACGAGGTAAGCTTGAATGGGAACATACAAATAATAATATGGAGTGTCAACTAACCCAATTAACTGATATCTTTCGTAATGCCGTCGATGATTTTGAATTGGAAGTTATGACAGCAAAATATGCCCGTGTAAACTTACTTCTTTCCGATTATTTCGTTATCGATTCAATCGATAAACAAGACAAAAGTAAAATCGATGAATACATGGTTCTCACGGAATTTCCCTTCTGGATATTTAACAAAACTATTCTTCTTTGTGCTGACTATGAAAAGTCCATTACAACAAGAGCAACTATTGCAATATCTGCTCTTACTACTTTATTGTATAAACGAAAATCCATACCAATCGAAGAAGCTAAGGTCACTGCTCAACAAAAGATCAGTGCATGCACAGAGTTTCGCTCAAATCGAACTGCACATGTTGCTGGTGCACAGTCGAGCATTTATTCATACACTGACGTTCTCTTTCCTGCTGATCACCGTGCTATTGAGTCGATGACTATATCGATTGGACGTCCTTGTACTACTGAACAAGATTTAGAAGATGATCAAACAATTACTGAAGTTGTTTTAGATCGAGTAGCTGAAAATCGAGCGGCTAACGATCGAGTTTATCGCAGTCTAGCTCGAACACAAAATCATAATTCTCGAAATGATAACATGACAAAAGATTGGATTGACCCATTCATCATTGATACTAAGAAACAGACTGAGATCTGTCATAATGCAGAGCATTTCTTTTTTGCCTATCTCCAATATCTTTATGGATCAGTAGATGTGACAGCAACAAAAAATTGGCGATCATCATCACGACTTGCCACTTATCCCAACAATCGACGTAATATCGATGATACTGTTGGTTTTGATTTTGAATTACATGATACACGTCAATTATTTACTCGTACCTCAAAATCAACAACCAAAATATGTTATTTTGAAGTAAAAGGTACAAGCGAATCATACAATGAAGAACATACTCAGTTTCATCTGTCTCAAAATGAATTTAAAGTATGTGAAGCCATTGCAACTGATGAGACAAAAAGGGAATACGCGTCATACTTTATCGTTATCATACAAAACTGTCTTGATCTTGAAAAGATTGCTTTTGGAAATATGATTGAATGGTAAGGCACATTGAATTCATATTTGCTATGTTTCAATATTATTTCTCAGGAGTGAAAACCTTGACAAAGTGCGCAAAACTGTTGACAGTTACCAGTGCAAAATCATTTCATCGTCGTCCACGAACTTGAGTAATTCGAACATAGACGAACCAACAAGTAACAATAATACAACGACGACTCTTTATGTTCCGCCTCATAAACGGGATCGTCATCAACGGTCAAGGGGGTCAAACAACGAAAATAATAATTATACGGCAAACCGTGCATCAACAAATAGAGATTATTCATCATCCATTAGTCGTTATTCAACTGATGATCATCATTGGCAGCAACGACCACAACGCGCATCAACGAATAAGGATCATTCATCATCCAGTAGTCATTGTTCAACTGATGATCAGCATTGGCAGCAACAACAACAACGATCAAAATGGTCTAACAACAGAAATAATAATATTACGACACAATCTGCATCAGCGAATAATATAAAATCAGTCTCTACTCGTCAGCATCAGCAACGACAAGGTCAAACATTCCACTCAAACGACGACAATAACCATAGATATCATCAACAGTCTCATAACAAAAAGTGGTAGCGTGTCTCACTATCTTGTGAAACTATTGATCTTTTTATATACTATCTATCAAAGTAATAAACAAGAATCCAACATAGTTTTAAGCAGTATAAAATGAACGACGATAATCGATATTGGTATTAATATCGCGAGAATAGAATCTAGACAGAATGATTTTTATTATTCGAATTACCGAAAATTGTTTGAAATTTCATTAAGAAAATAATTTCTTTTAAGAAATAGAATTGATTTCTTATTAGGGTGTGGGTGTGGGTGTGGGTGTGGGTGGGTGTGGATGGGTGGGTGTGGGTGTGGATGGGTGGGTGTGGGTGTGGATGGGCGGGTGTGGGTGTGGATGGGTGGGTGTGGGTGTGGATGGGTGGGTGTGGGTGTGGATGGGTGCCCAGGCAAGCAAAAATAAGAGAGGACTGGCGACATGTCTAGTCCAAAACGTCCGCAACAGCCGTCCTGCTAGTCTAAAATATTAATGTGGTCGTCAGGACTGGTCAGTATTTTAAAAAGCGACATACTGATAGGACTGGACTAGTCTGAGATATTCTGAGGACTAGTCAAGTCTAGTCCCAAATATTTGGTGCCGGGATCAGGACTAGTCAAGTCTAGTCCCAAATATTTGGTGTTGGCGTCAGGACTAGTCAGTGTCTTATGAGGTAATATAATGACAGGACTGGACGAGTCTAATAATTTTGAAATACATGCCTGGACTAGTCTGAGAGATCCTGAGCACTAGTCAAGACTGCCATGTTTTACTAGAAATGACATGCTGTCTGAACCAGACTAGTCCGAAATTCGGTACGACATTTTACATTAATAGTTGGTTATATCTTTAATACTTGTCAAGTCTAGTCTAATTACAGAAACTTAATGTAATTTTGAGTTTGAACTGATTGCTTATTTATGAAAACTTTTTGTCACCTTCAATTCAATACATCTTAGTACGTATACATAACCTAAGAATAACAAAGTTACAAACTTGCATTATGAAAAACACGACTGTTTAATTATCTAAGATTCTACAATGGTGTAGTTTATTTATCGATTATCAGTTATAAAAATTGTTTTATTAATAAGGAAAATTTATTGAGTTTGAAATGCTAAAAATCATTAACTTCGATTTGTCTCTATCTTTAACTGTTTTTATCATATAGAACAGAAAAAATGAAAACAATTATTATTGTCATATTTTCGTTATCGTACGATTATTGTTCTTTAAGTTATAAATTGTATGAATTTTCATCAACAATATTATTAATTTGATCGATCATATTTATAAAGAAGAAATTTTTTTTTATTTCATTGTATATAGAACATCTGAGATTGATGATTGAATCACTAGTTTATCTAATTGGTTGTTTAATTTTTTTTGTCATGTATTCAAGTGACACCTGACCGAATATTCACATATATATCATTGGTTTCGCCATAGAAACAGCGCTCTCTTTAAGTCTCTTCTTCTTCGTCCTCTCCTAAACATATACAAAGAAGATTTCATAAACACCTGTTTTGTTCGTGGCTTAATATGAAGGATGTTTAAAACGAAAGAAAAATGTGAATCACGCGTATAGTCACTATTTATTGATGAGGGTGTGGGTGTGGCTGTGGCTGTGGCTGCCTCACACCCACAACCACACACCCACACCCTCTATCGCTTATACGTCGCCAGTAACTGTGTAATAGGTTAACAATTGGTTCTTTTTGTAAGAATCAATAGGTTAATCATAAACTACCTGAAGATTGACAGCTTGATAACTGTCGAAATCGGTCGTCCTAAGTAGCTCAGAATTATCTCTTATATACTCACCATTTACACTCACTGTGATTTAGACAATCTATTGTGTATCATCTTTAGATTGTTCTACATACATGTTCCTTCTATTCTCGACACTTAAATAGTTTGTTGGAGGTTCTTTGGAACTTCCATAGAACTTGCATCTGTTTTGAGAATTAAGGATCGATGTGCAGAGTATATATAATTCCAAATATTAGCTGACGAGTTCCTTAAGCAAGGTCGAAACCGGTCATGGCAGCTGTTCTCACACACTGACTATTGAAATTTACTATTATTTGATTTTTGATTAAATTGAATATATAACAGTGTAAATCGATCTTGGATTTGATTCTTCTGAAAAATTGAATCGAATTTAGGTCTTTTGCCATCTGATGAGACCCTTAAGCAAGGTCGAAACCGGTCATGGCAGCTGTTCTCACCCTCACCCACCCTCACCCTCACGTAAAATACTCGATTAACATTTAAATTGTCTTATCTATTCTAGATAATCTCTTGCGACACCAAGCCATGGCTGCTAGTTCTTATTGTAGCCAAAACAATTTTGACTGTTACTCTTCTATTTATAGGAATTGTGATAGTTTTCATCATTCTTTTATGATGAATTTGAACTACGCCATCTGAGGAGTCCCTTAAGCAAGGACGAAACCGGTCATGGCTGCCAGTTCTTATAGTAGTAGACTTTTTAAAATTACACACCCACCCACCCACAACCACCCGTTTGTCGTGGAACGGCCTATTTCTACTCACTCTCTTTTGGCGATTCCGCTATTATTTTAATAGTAGATATAGTATTCTGTATTGATTCAAATTATTTTGGATCTCTTATACTGATACTTGTGCCACTTGATAAGATTCAAGCAATATCGAAATACCTGGTATTGTGGTAGCTAAACTCACTCACCCTCAATTTTAGAAAGCAATCACAAAATGTTTATTAGAATTTCATCGAACACAATATAATTCTTAGCATGAACACAAAGAAAAATTTACCAAAGATCAATTGCTACGCTTAGCTGATGCTTTCGTTTCACAAAGTCATTATGTTTGAATATGCGACACAATTTTCTTGTTTGTAAATAAAGATTTCTTGAATATGTTAAATAGTTCCAAATGTTTTAATTCGATTTCCAACATCCAGTTTTATTACAACCTGGACATCTGAGACCAAACGTATTTGCAATTTTTGCCAATGCGGCTTCCGTTGCTTGCCTGACACCTGTCATATCTCCAAGTAACTCCATAACTTCGGATACACGAAGAGTAACGCCACATGCTGCACATTTAATACCTGGCATATTGATAATGATGCACAAAACACCTGAGTTGATATAAAGAGAGAAAGAAAAACTGCACATACTATGCATACACGCAGAGATAAGTGGGAAGGAAAAGCCAATACGTCGTCAACTAAAGTAGCACTTCATATTTCTTGTTTTTTCCCTCTGCTATTTGACGAAGTCTCCAAAACATCGACAGATTTTTACCCAAGTTCCTTGCAACAAGACTAAACTTATGGTAATCGCTGCAACAAAAGTGTCAGCAAGGCAAAGTAGACAGTTCGATGGAAGTGTCGGTGAGGGAGAGTAAAAAATATTGACTGTCACCCACGCACCATCAGTCTTACGAGGGAACCGTTCGAAGTGATTCACTGCTTTTTGCCTCATATTTTCAGCATATCGAAGAGAACTCTAGAGTACCTTAACCCTAAAAGGATTTGTGCCCATGGCCATTCTTTCGTGAGATATCGAATTTTTGAGATTGTGAGGAATATAAGGATTTTGACCTCTTTAAGTTACACCATAGGGTGTGGGTGTGGGTGTGGGTGTGTGGCTGTGGGTGTGGGTGTGGATGTGGGTTTGACGGTGTGAGTGTGCTGGGGCTGTGAGGGTGGGAATGTGATATGGCTGTGAGGGTGAGAGTGTGAGTGTGGGTGTGGGCGTGTGTGTACGTGCTAGTGTTGGTGTGGTTGTGAACACTTCTGCGAGTGAGTTAAACATTCAGACTCACTCACACCCATATCCGTCCCCCATTCATCCTCCTGAATATTCGCCAATTGGCGAAAGTTCAGCGGACTATCGCCAATATATCCATTGTAAATTCACCAATTGGCGAAAGTCCACTGAACTTTAGCCAATACATCTCTGGGTTTTCCCCAATAATTGGTGAAATTCTCATTGGCAAAGTACGGGAATCCCTTATGGTCTCTAGTGAATCCATTGATATAACTGTTAGTCAAAGACTAACACCAAAACATAACGCATTTCCGGTTATATATCGGTCTGTTATTTTCAAAGTGTTCCTTTCTGCTCATTAGACAGAGAAGCGAAGCGATATCTAGAATAATGATATCTTTACCCTTGGTAGTTTTTAACTGAGCAAAGAATGTCACAATACAATTATTTTAAGCTTCATTCTTGTCTTTCACGGCATATGGCAGAACAAGTTAACACACTATTACCATCAAGGGGGAAAAAACGGAATCCTGGAATCCTGGAATCCTGGAATCCGGTGGAATATTACGGAATCCCACGGAATCCCACGGAATCATGGAATCCAATGGAATCCGATGGAATCCAATGGAATCATGGAATCCAATGGAATCCAATAGAATCCGATGGAATCCAATGGAATCCGATGGAATCCGATGGAATCCGATAGAATCCGATGGAATCCGATGGAATCCAATGGAATCCGATGGAATCCCCGGAATCATGGAATCCAATGGAATCCAATAGGATCCAATGGAATCCAATAGAATCCAATGGAATCCAATAGGATCCAATGGAATCCAATAGAATCCAATGGAATCCAATGGAATCCGATGGAATCCAATGGAATCCA